ACTTGCAAAAACAGAGAACCAGCATTCACTAGCACGCCAGCCCTGATACCCACCTCTTGGACAACGCTCACTACTACTGATGCAACATACAGTTGTGCGATACCTCTCTGTTCAAAACTCCTTTACCTCAGCTGCTCAGTAGCTCCACAGGACAAATGGGCCCGGGCGGCGCCGCGCCGAAAAGGGCCCGGGCGGCGCCGCGCCGAAAAGGGCCCGGGCGGCGCCGCGCCGAAAAGGGCCCGGGCGGCGCCGCGCCGAAAAGGGCCCGGGCGGCGCCGCGCCGAAAAGGGCCCGGGCGGCGCCGCGCCGAAAAGGGCCCGGGCGGCGCCGCGCCGAAAAGGGCCCGGGCGGCGCCGCGCCGAAAAGGGCCCGGGCGGCGCCGCGCCGAAAAGGGCCCGGGCGGCGCCGCGCCGAAAAGGGCCCGGGCGGCGCCGCGCCGAAAAGGGCCCGGGCGGCGCCGCGCCGAAAAGGGCCCGGGCGGACTTATTCTGCAGAGAGGAAGAAGGTGAGCCTGCTCACTCTCCAGGCACTACTGCACTTATGCGGTCAAGAGACATTACCCCACTGTTTCCCAAAAACAACTACCTGGAAACACCTAATAAACATACTTCTAACATGTCAATTCAAGGACATCAAGACTAAAAGGCTGCAAGGTCTAAACACTCGACAGACAGAAAACACACAGGCAAAAGCTCCAGAAATATAACAAAGTGTCCCTAAACTTGAAACAGACTACCCCTTACGTGCCCACTGCTGCCATTTTCAGATACACGCTCACACAGGCAGCCTCCATCATACATTTCTCCTAAACCCTGCTGCATCACTTTGACAGCAAGGTTATGACTTTGATAAGATTTGACATAGATTTAAAGGCTCACAGAAGGCCCCGTAATTCTGCAAAAATCAGAAGGGACCCAGAACCACAGAGCAAACACACAAAGTAACATCACCATACTATCCGTAAAACTGCCATAACAACTACTCACCTGAGGAAGACCTGCGTGCAATACACGCACCTACTACTAGATTCCTTTACTATGACAGATCCTACCAGTTTTCACCTCAAAAAGATAGGAGTACCGGTTTCGACTTCAAAATGCATCAGTCCATAGAATCTGACCCACCTAAAGAACCCTCCAAAAGACTGAAGGAAAAACAAAGCACTTACCCAAAAGTGCAGCCCAGGCAGAAGGAGCTCTCTGATGGCATACCTTCAACTCAGTTACCATTAGGTCCCACCTGGAACCTGAAGCCAATCACCTGGGAAAGTGCAGGGGGAAAGCATAAAAAAGCAGAAAGAGGAGCAGCAGCAGCTGTGATTTTATTAACTTCCTTATATGGCTTAGCTCAACAGCATGCAGAGTGCAGACAGGAGAACTGGGGCGTTTCTAGAAACAAAAATCCCCATGCTTTTGCTGCAGCTTTGAATACTGAAAGGACAATACTACCACGCAAGTAAATGAAGCTTTTTCAGCCGGATTTAGCGCAGACTTGTATTTACAGAATCACAGAATCACAGAATCACAGAATCTCTAGGTTGGAAGAGACCTCAAGATCATCGAGTCCAACCTCTGACCTAACACTAACAGTCCCCACTAAACCATATCCCTAAGTTCTACATCTAAATGTCTTTTGAAGACTTCCAGGGATGGTGACTCAACCACCTCCCTGGGCAGCCTGTTCCAATGTCTAACAACCCTTTCAGTAAAGAAATTCTTCCTAACATCTAACCTAAAACTCCCCTGGCGCAACTTTAGCCCATTCCCCCTCGTCCTGTCACCAGGCACATGGGAGAACAGGCCAACCCCCATCTCGCTAGAGCCTCCTTTAATATACTTATACAGAGTGATAAGGTCACCCCTGAGCCTCCTTTTCTCTAGGCTGAACAAGCCCAGCTCCTTCAGCCGCTCCTCATAGGACTTGCTCTCCAGGCCCCTCACCAGCTTCGTCGCCCTTCTCTGGACCCGCTCAAGCACCTCGATGTCCTTCTTGTAGCGAGGGGCCCAGAACTGAACACAGTACTCGAGGTGCGGCCTCACCAGAGCCGAGTACAGGGGGACGATCACCTCCCTAGCCCTGCTGGTCACAGTGTTTCTGATACAAGCCAGGATGCCGTTGGCCTTCTTGGCCACCTGAGCACACTGCTGGCTCATATTCAGCCGACTGTCCACCATCACTCCCAGGTCCTTCTCTGCCTGGCAGCTCTCCAGCCATTCCTCTCCCAGCCTGTAGCTCTTCTTGGGGTTATTGCGCCCCAGGTGCAGGACCCGGCACTTGGCCTTGTTAAACTTCATACAGTTGACCTCAGCCCATCGGTGCAGCCTACCCAGATCCTCCTGCAGAGCCTTCCTACCCTCAAGCAGATCGACACACGCACCTAGCTTGGTGTCATCTGCAAACTTACTGAGGGTGCACTCAATGCCCTCATCCAGATCATTGATGAAGATGTTAAAGAGGACCGGCCCCAGCACCGAGCCCTGGGGGACGCCACTAGTGACTGGAGCCCTGGGGGACGCCACTAGTGACTGGAAGAAACACAGGAAGAAAACTCTAGGAGCAGAACAGATTATGCGCCAAAGAAGAATTCAATTCCATTCCACTCACAGGAAAAATCACTTACTTCAGTAGGCTATCTGAAAACCAAAAGGCTATGCTCATGGGTCAAAACACACTACAGGACACTGGGGCCAGGCCCTCCACTGCACCAAATTAAAACCCATCCCTACACTCACCAAGGTACAAGCCCAACCCAAACACAGAAACAGCATTTCAGCCTCAACACAGTTTTCAGAACTGCTGGAAATCAAGCTGCATACTCAGTGAGGCATGCTCAGGCTACACAAGACAGGGCTTTGGGCACCTCCTTGCCTACCAAAGAAGACAGCCATCAGCACCTGCTTTGTTCCGATTCTAAAGACTAACATCACAGCCCACGTTGCCTGGGACACCTGATAAACAGAAGAGAAAGCAGCCATACCCTTTTCAAGCCATCCCTGCACGTGTCGCTCCTTGATCATCTGCAACCTCTTCTCAAATCCTCAACCGCTTCTGTGGAGAGCCTGCCATGGCACCTGCAAAGCAAGACCCTTCGCACTCACCTCGTGCTACTTGGCAGTTCTGCTCCAATCCAGCTCACAAAAGGCCCGCCCTTCTCGTGCTGCTCTTCAGAGTGCAGCTTGGCCCCTCTGAGCCTGTGTGAGACAAATGTGAAACAAAAAGAAAAGCATAGGCTGAAGCAGCATCCAAAGACACGGCACAGCTGGGACAGTTACTCTCACCTGCTCCCTTACCTCGGCGCCCTCACCTCCCCTCGAGGCAGATGCTTCCATCTGCTCTCTTAGGCCAGCTACAACACCCCTGAAATATAAACAGGATTTTTACTGTATTTTGTGCAGTTAACTAACTGCAATAACAGCTGCACCCCTGAAGTACCTGCTGCATCTGTCCATCGCTCACCTTGCCAAAAGCAGCTCCGGTCAAGTCCCGTGTTGTACACTGTTTCACCTTAAACAAATGAAAACAGCCACAAGAGAATCAATCATTCACCTGCCACCATTAGCACCCATCCCTCAACAACACAAGGAACCCCACTTATAACTTTATAATTTCAAAACAGCAGCCCCCTTGCCTCAGCACCTCAGAAGTAGATCAAGCCAGTCACCGAGCTGCCTACCGAGTGCTGAAAAGTTCCAGAAGGAGCTCTTTCCTGTGCGCAGTTCCTACTACAGTATACACTCTACTGGGGACAGGAAAGATATAAAAATAAAAATTTCAAAACCCCGTATCTGTAAGCTTTCAAGATTCAACAGTACACCATTCAAGCACTATGCAAACAGCTGCTGGCAAGCAGCTCAACTCTGCCAAATCCACATCTGCTAACCTCCAGAGATGACTGTGCCAGCTGCCCTTCAGTATGCGCCCAGAGGCAGATGTCTACGCCAAAACAGTCTGGACAATGTATTAGCACACCCATAGACTACCACGTTAGCTATTATCACTAACTGCCAGGCAGGACAGCTCCAGACCAAACACGTACACGCACAGGCACGCCACAAACACTACAAACAAAACACACAACACTAGGCGCAAGAAAAAGCGACCCCCAGAGAAAAGCCCTATGGCAACAGCAAGTCCGAACAGGTGCTCTGCAGCAGACCCTACCAGAGACTAAAATGTCACGACACGTGACTGGAAGCAACTGCCAGAACTGGGATGATGGAGGCCTAAAAAGCCTGCCTTCAAGACAAGAGACCAGAAGGATGGGGAGAGAAAACCCCCTAAGAAGACACTTAGGTATTCAATTCCCAAGCAAGAGCTCCTGATGCAACCCAGATGACTTCCGCAAGAGTGAGGATGGAAACAGATGCGATCTCAAACCGAATATGATGCACAAGACCTGAAACAGATCTGCACTTCAAGCAGCGACTGCAAGACAAGAAGTGCTCACATCAGCCCTATAATGACAAAACAAGCATTTAGGGCCTTTGGTGTGGCTACAAAGTTGCACATCTTGTCAGTCCAGTGGAAGAAGGCAATGAGAATATCAAGACCTGAAGAGCACGTAACATATGATGATCATATCAGGAAATGTTTGATACAAAAAACTATTAATTGCATAGTAGAAGTGATCCCCTTAAGCTCCCACTGCAACACAAGCGTTGTTCAGCTCCCAGTTCAACATCAGTATTATTCTGAGGAGGTCAAGTGTTCAATACCTTCAGGATGGCTTCCCGAGGCCTGCCGGGCACCAAGAGCAACAGCACAGTACAGCACAGACAACACAGATGACAAGCTGGGACTGCCCTGCCTGGCACGCGCTCACGTTGTACGTGACTGAACTCCCCACACATAATCTCTCTGCCTGACCTGATCAATCCTGAAAGGCCCCATCCAAAGCAATGACTTAAAAGCACAGACCCTCGCCCTATGGGTGCATTCACAACCCCAGTTCAAACATAGCATTTGCCCCCCCCCCCCCCCCCCCCCAAATTAGCTTGGGAATGCTGGGAGGCAGGTTCCATCCTCACCAAGGAACACAAAGGCTAGCCAGGACATTGCTTCAGGCACAAGGCTCCTCTTCACCTGCAGAAATGAAGTGCCATCAGGCACCAGCACACTAGCCGAATTTCTTCCAGTGAAACAACCTCCTCAGAAACAAAACAGTAATCAACTGACCTGCTCTGCTACTGAAATCAGATAGACACCCTTTAAACAACTCCCCACCTCCCTCTGCCAACCACTCCACAACACACAGTATTTCCCCCTGGACTTAATTCTCAGGGCTCAGAATCCACTATCAATGTGCACCACAGAGGCCAGCTAGGATGTTCCCAGGACCTTCTTCGTCCCTGCAAAAGAGGAGTCACCCAGAGGTGCACCAAGAGACTACTACAGCAAAAACAATACCCGTTTTCCAAATTTTCTCCACTCACCTTCCCGATCCAGGCTTAGCGCTTCCATTCACTGTGTTGAGCCAAGGTAACAGGACTTAGTCCAAAAAGAACAGAAACGTGACAATCCACAAAACAGTCTATACCCACTCCTTTCGTCCCCTACTGCAACAGCCAAGAAGCCCCAGAGCCACGTGGTCCAACCCAGTACCACCGCTTCACTCACCTAACATCCCCAGGAGATGCATCATGCTCCCAGCTCCTCTTGTGCTCCGAGCATCTCCAGCATTTCAGGAACTGGAACCGCTGACGTCTGGCACATGTCAGAAACGTGGCAGGAGACGTACTCTGCTGTCGCAAGGCACTTGCAAAGCCGGCCCGACAGGTGAAGCAGAATAACACAGTCCACCGACCAACTCGGGGCCCCCACTGCTGTCCACTCACCCTCATGCTTCGTTCAAGTTTCCGTGCCTATGCCCTGAGCTACAAGAAACAAAGAGAGAAGGTCACAACCACGATGGATACGCAAACAGTGCAGCTCCTAGCAGAGGACTCAAACACAGACACCAGAGCCAGACAAACATAAAAAAACCCTCAAGTCCAAAAATGCCAAAAGGCCATGAATGCATAGCAGCCCCGGCAGGGGTAATGACAGACATACCCTTTGCAGATGAAAAACGTGACCCTGCTCAGTCTCTTGGTAATACTGCACGAACACGGTCAAGCCTCTTCTAGCATGTAATCAAGCTGGTTTTAGTCCTCTGGAGAGTTACACAAGTGGGTTGATTCATCTGGAGATTAAAATACAGATCAAAAACAGAAGCACATCCCACCATCCCAAAAAACATTGAGCCAGCAACCTCTACTAAATATCCCTCTATTAAGTGAATTCCAAGCACTTAAGAATTCCAGAAACCCATAGACTCCAGCCTGCCTAGAGAACCCTGCAACTGACTGAAGGAAAAACAAAGCACTGCCCCCAAAGAGCAGCCCAGGCAGAAGGAGCTCTCTCATGGCATACTTGGGGCTCATATACCTTTTGGTCCCACCCAGCACCCAAACCCAATCACCTGGGAAAGGGGAGGGGCAAAGCACAAGAAAGTAGAAAGAGGAGGAGCAGCAGCTGTGGTTTACTTACTTATAAGGCTTAGCTCAACAGCATGCAGAGTGCAGACAAGAGAACTGGGGTGTTTCTAGAAGCAATAATCCCCATGCTTTCGCTGCAGCTTTGAATACTGAAAGGACAATACAACCACGCAAGTAAATGAAGCTTTTTCAGCTCAATTTAGCTCAAACTTTTATTTACACAGAAAGAAAGATCTAGGAGCAGAACAGATTGTACACCAACAAAATCAATTCCGTTCCACTCACAGGAAAAATCCTGACTTCAGTAGGCTATCAGAACCAAAAGGCTATGCTGATGGGTCAAAACACACTACAGGACACTGAGGCCAGGCCCTCTGCTGCACTGAATTAAAACCCATCCCTACACTCATCAAGGTGCAAGCCGAACCCAAACACAAACAGCATTTCAGCCTCAACACAGTTTTCAGAACTGCTGGAAAGCAGGCTCCATCCTCAGCAAGGCGTGCTCAGGCTGCACAGTAGGGGGCTTTGGGCACCTCTTTGCCTACCAAAGAAGGCCATCATCAGCACCTGCTTTGTTCCGATACTAAACACTAACATCACAGCTCACGTTGCCTGGGACACCTGATAAACAGAAGAGAAAGCAGCCATACCCTTTTCAAGCCATCCCTGCACGTGTCGCTCTTTGATCATCTGCAACCTCTTCTCAAATCCTCAACCGCTTCTGTGGAGAGCCTGCCATGGCACCTGCAAAGCAAGATGGATACCCTTCGCACTCACCTCGTGCTACTTGGCCGTTCTGCTCCAATCCAGCTCACAAACAGCCCGCCCTTCTCATGCTGCTCTTCAGAGTGCAGCTTGGCCCCTCTGAGCCTGTGTGAGACAAATGTGAAACAAAAAGAAAAGCATAGGCTGAAGCAGCATCCAAAGACACGGCACAGCTGGGACAGTTACTCTCAGCTGCTCCCTTACCTCGGCCCCCCTCACCTGCCCTCGAGGACAATGATTCCATCTGCTCTCTTAGGCCAGCTACAACACCCCTGAAATATAATCAGGATTTTTACTGTATTTTGTGCAGTTAACTAACTGCAGTGACAACTGCACCCCTAAAGTACCTGCTACATCTGTCCATCGCTCACCTTGCAAAAAGCAGCTCTGGACAAGTCCCGTGTTGTGCACTGTGTTTCAGCTTTAACAAATGAAAACAGTCACAAGAGAATCATTCAGCTGCCAGCATTAGCACCCATCCCTCCACAACACAAAGGGACCCCATTTACATTACTATCATTTCAAAACAGAAGCCCCCATACCTCAGCACCTCAGAAGTACATCAAGCCAGTCACCGAGCTGCCTGCCGAGTGCTGAACAGTTCCAGAAGGAGCTCTTTCCTGTGACAGGTTCCTCCTAGGGTTTACACCCTACTGGGGACAGAATAGAAATAAAAATAAAAGTTTCAAAACCCCATATCTGTAAGCATTCAAGATTCGACAGACCTCCTCAAGCACACTGTTCAAGCACTATGCAAACAGCTGCTCACAAGCAGATATACTCTCCCAAATCCCCATCTGCCAACCACCAGACATGACTGTACCAGCTGCCCTTCAGTACGTGCCCAGAGGCAGACCGGATGTCTTTGCCAGAACAGTCCAGACAATGTATTAGCACACCCATGGACTGCCACATTAATCACTAACTGCCAGGCAGGACAGCTCCAGACCAAACACGTACACACACAGGCACGCCACAAACACTACAAACAAAACACACAACACTAGGCGCATGAAAAAGATTGACCCCCAAAAGGAAAGCCCTATGGCAACAGCAAGTCAGATAAAGGTGTTCTTCACCAGACCATACGAGAGACTCAAATGTCACGACACGCGACTGGAAGCAACTGCCAGAACTGGGATGATGGAGGCCTAAAAAGCCTGCCTTCAGGACAAGAGACCAGAAGGATGGGGAGTGAAAACCCCCTAAGAAGACACTTAGGAAATCAATTCCCAAGCAAGAGCTCCTGATGCGGCCCAGATGTCTTCTGCAAGGGTGAGGATGGAAAGAGATGTGCATCATATTCGGTTTGAGATCGCAAGACCTCAAACAGATCTACACTTCAAGCAGCGACTGCAAGACAAGAAGTGCTCGGATCAGAGCCATGATGACAAAACAAGCATTGAGGCCCTTCAGCACAGCTACCAAGTCGCCTGCCTGGTCAGTCCGCTGTAAAAAGTTAGGAGGATATCAAGACCTGAGAAGCACAGAACAGAAACTACAGAAGCAACACCACAAGACATACAAACTGAAGTTAACTGTCCTGCCTGGCGCATGCACTCACACTACAAAATAATCCTGCCTCTTCTATTAGCCTGCTGACCCAGCCACAAGCAGCCTGAACGTGACCCAGCCTGAACCACCCTCACAGTGGCACCAAGTCTATTCAGCTAGCTGCCTCCATGCTGCTCTGGCTCCAGGCTCCCATTAGCCACTCCAGATATGCAAATACCAGGTGCCCCCAACTTAGCTCTCAGGTTGCTGCATGGTAAATTCCTTCTGCCTCAAGAAATGCACAGGCACTGATTGTCATCTTAGTCAATTGCCAGGCTCATCATCAGCTGCAAAAACAGAGTACCAGCATTCACTAGGACACCAGCCCCTTTGCTCACCTTCTCCACAATGCTGACTACTACTGATGCAACATACGGTTCTGCTCACCTGTTCCTCTCCGAGACCAAGCTCCAATAGTGCAGCCAGTATCATCCACACCACCTGGGAAAACAAAGGGATTAAATGATCATTGCTTTCACAACAAGTCAGCCAATGGTGTTTTTTGTTGTTTTTGTTGTTGTTTGTGTGTGTTTCCTGTATTATTTTTTTTAAATCTGCCTTAGCTCAACAGCATGCAGACTGCAGATAAGAAAACTGGGGTGTTTCTAGAAGAAACAATCCCCATGCTTTTGCTGCAGCTTTGAATATTAAAAGGACAACACGACCCAGCAAGAAACCTGAACTTTCTTAACTGGAATTAGCTCAAACTTTTATTCACATTGAAAGAAAAATCCAGGAGCAGAACAGATTATACACCAACAAAATTAATTCTATTCCGTCCCCAGAAAAAAAATCACATACTCTCATCCCCTCCTGTACCTCAGCCGCTTGCCTGCCCCACGTGGCACATGCTTCCATCTCTTCTCTTCACCCACTTATAGCACCTCTAAAAGAGAAACTGGAATTTTACTCTACTGCATGTAAGAAAATAACTGCAGTGACAACTGCACCCCAAAAACAAGTGACCTCTGCTCATCACACACCAGAGTCATCACTGCAGAGGCAGCTCGGGTTGAGACGTCCTGCACTGCAAACTGCATTTCAACCTGAACAAAGGAAAGACACAGGCAAAAGATAAACATTCAGCTGCCAACAGTAGCACCCATCCCTCAACAACATAAGCGACCCCATCTTTACTTTTATCTTTTCAAAACAGCACTCCACTTGCCTCTGGACCTGAAAATTAGGTCCAAGCTTGAAAGGAGCGGCCAGCATCATCCACACCACCGGGGAACACAAAAGGACCAAACAACCACTGTGCTTGCAAGCACCCAAATGCCACACTGTTCCTCTATTCGAAACAGACTCACCTCGGACCCTCACAGGGAAACACCAGAGTGTCTTCACTTCGCTTCAGATAAGGGATGACCAGGCTGGCAACACTCACCTTCCATCAGAGCTCCATCACAGGAGGATTTCCCTTCCCTCTCCACAACTGCACAAAGCACCTGCAGAGACAAGGAAAAAGCACACTCTGAGGCACCTCACAGCCACAGCGTACCTGCTGCAATACCTCTCTCTTCCCAGCTCCGGTACTTCTGCTGCTCACCAGATCTAAATCAGATTCTTTGCTCACAGCACCACTCCAAACCCTGCCTGGACCACACTACACACACTACACAAGCTACATTGCCCAGCACACACAAGCTGGAACATTCCCACCCACCAATCAGTCGCATCGCACAGGAAGGCTGCTGCACACTCTCTGAGAAACCAAACCTACCAGTCCTGAGCAGCTCCCCACCTCCTCCTGCCAACCACGCTCAGCACACACACTATTCACCCCTCAAAAAAAAAAAAAACAGGAAGTTAGAACATACACACACACACAAAAAAAAAAAAAAAAACAACCGAGCTCCACAAATGCCAAAAAGACATGCACACACAGCAGCCCCGGCAGAGGTAATCACAGACTTACCCTTTGCAGATAAAAAAAAAGGTGACTCTGATACAACCCTGCTCAGTCTCTTGGCAATGCTGCATCTACACTGTCAAGCCACAGGTACCATGCAATCAAGCTGGTTTTAGTCCTCTGGAGAATTACAAAAGTGGGCTTACACATCTAGAGATTAAAATATAGCTCAAAAACAGAAGAGTATCCCACCATCCCAAAAAAACAGTGAGCCAGAAACCTCTATTAAACATCCCTCTATTGAGTGAATTCCAAGCACTTAAAAATTCTAGAAATCTATTAACTCCAGCCTGCCTAGAGAACCCTGCAACTGACTGAAGGAAAAACAAAGCACTTACCCCAAGGAGCAGCCCAGGCAGAAGGAGCTCTCTGATACCATGCCTGGGGCTCATATACCATTTGGCCCCGCCCAGCACCCAAACCCAATCACCTGGAAAAGGGGAGGGGCAAAGCACAAGGAAGTAGAAAGAAAGCAGGAGCAGCAGCAGCAGCTGTTTTTTATTATTTTCTTTGTTTTTTGTGTGTGTGTGGTTTTTTTTTGTTTTTTTTTTTTAAGATCTGGTTTACTTGAAAAACATGCAGAGAGCAGACGAGAACTGGGGTGTTTCTAGAAGCAACAATCCCCATGCTTTTGCTGCAGCTTTTAATATTGAAAAAACAACACAACCAGGCCAGTAACTGGAACTTTTTGAAGTGGAATTATATTAAACAGGTTCATCATCACTTGCAAAAACAGAGAACCAGTATTCACTAGCATGCCAGCCCTGACACCCTCCTCCTCCGCAACGCTGACTACTACTGATGCAACATCTACTGTGAAATACCTCTCTGTTCCCAGCTCCTTTACCTCAGCTGCTCACTACATTTACCTGAGAAATGTGCCTGGGAGGCGCCGCGCTGAAGTGTGCCCGAACAGACTTATTCTGCAGAGATGAAGAAGGTGGCCCTGCTCACTCTCTTGGCAGTACTGCACTTATGCAGTCAAGGAACCATACCCCACGGTTTCCCAAAAACAACATACCTGGCAACCCCTCATAAATGTACTTCTAATACGTAAATTCAAGGACATAAAGCCTAGAAGGCTTTATGGTCTAAACACTCGACAGACAGAAAACACACAGGCAAAAGCTCCAGAAATATAACAAACTGTCCCTAAACCTGAAACAGACTACCCCTTACGTGCCCACTGCTGCCGTTTTCAGACACATGCTCACATAGGGAGCTTCCATGATACATTTCAACTAAACCCTGCTCCATCTCTTTAACAGCAAGGTTTTGACTTTGATAAGATTTGACCTACAGGCAAAGACTCACAAAAAGCCCCGTAATTCTGCAAAAATCAGAAGGGACCCAGAACCACAAAGCAAACACACAAAGTAACATCACCATACTATCCGTAAAACTGCCATAACAACTACTCACCTGAAGAAGACCTGCGTGCAATACAGGCACCTACTACTAGATTACTTTACTATGACAGATCCTACCAGTTTTCACCTCAAAAAGATAGAAGTACCAGTTTCTACTTCAAAATGCATCAGTGCATAGACTCTGGCCCACCTAAAGAACCCTGCAAACAACTGAAGGAAAACCAAAGCACTTACCCAAAAGTGCAGCCCAGGCAGAAGGAGCTCTCTCATGGCATACCTTCAACTCAGTTACCATTAGGTCCCACCTGGAACCTGTAGCCAATCAATTGGGAAAGTGCAGGGGGAAAGCATAAAAAAAGCAGAAAGAGGAGCAGCAGCAGCTGTTGTTTTATTAACTTCCTTATATAGCTTAGCTCCACAGCATGCAGAGTGCAGACAGGAGAACTGGGGTGTTTCTAGAAACAAAAAACCCCATGCTTTTGCTGCAGCTTTGAATACTGAAAAGACAATACTACCACACAAGTAAATGAAGCTTTTTCAGCTCAAGTTAGCTCAAACATTTATTTACGCAGGAAGAAAACTCTAGGAGCAGAACAGATTATGTGCCAAAGAAGAATTCAATTCCATTCCACTCACAGGAAAAATCAGTTACTTCAGTAGGCTATCTGAAAACCAAAAGGCTATGCTCATGGGTCAAAACACACTACAGGACACTGGGGCCAGGCCCTCCACTGCACCAAATTAAAACCCATCCCTACGCTCACCAAGGTACAACCCCAACCCAAACACAGAAACAGCATTTCAGCTTCAACACAGTTTTGGGAACTGCTGGAAAGCATGCTTCATACTCAGCGAGGAGTGCTCAGGCTACACAAGACAGGGCTTCGAGCACCTCTTTGCCTACCAAAGAAGGCCATCATCAGCACCTGCTTTGTTCCGATACTAAACACTAACATCACAGCTCACGTTGCCTGGGACACCTGATAAACAGAAGAGAAAGCAGCCATACCCTTTTCAAGCCATCCCTGCACGTGTCGCTCCTTGATCATCTGCAGCCTCTTCTCAAATCCTCAACCGCTTCTGTGGAGAGCCTGCCATGGCACCTGCAAAGCAAGATGGATACCCTTCGCACTCACCTCGTGCTACTTGGCCGTTCTGCTCCAATCCAGCTCACAACCAGCCCGCCCTTCTCGTGCTGCTCTTCAGAGTGCAGCTTGGCCCCACTCAGCCTGTGCAAGACACCTGTGAAACAAAAGAAAAGCATAGGCTGAAGCAGCATCCAAAGACACAGCACAGCTACGACAGTTACTCTCACCTGCTCCCTTACCTCTGCGCCCTCACCTCCCCTCGAGGCAGATGCTTCCATCTGCTCTCTTAGGCCAGCTACAACACCCCTGAAATATAAACAGGATTTTTACTGTACTTTGTGTAGTTAGGTAACTGCAGTGACAACTGCACCCCTAAAGTACCTGCTACATCTGTCCATCGCTCACCTTGCGAAAAGCAACTACGGTCAAGTCCCGTGTTGTACACTGTGTTTCAGCTTTAACAAATGAAAACAGTCACAAGAGAATCAATCATTCAGCTGCCAGCATTAGCACCCATCCCTCCACAATACACAGGGACCCCATTTACATTAGTATCATTTCAAAACAGAAGCCCCCATACCTCAGCACCTCAGAAGTACATCAAGCCAGTCACCGAGCTGCCTGCCGAGTGCTGAACAGTTTCCAGAAGGAGCTCTTTCCTGTGACAGGTTCCTCCTAGGGTTTACCCTCTAATGGGGACAGGAAAGAAATAAAAATAAACATTTCAAAACCCCATATCTGTAAGCTTTTCAAGATTCAGCAGACCTCCTCAAGCACACCGTTCAAGCACTATGCAAACAGCTGCTCACAAGCAGATATACTCTCCCCCCCCACACATCTGACAAACACCACATAGATGACTGTGCCAGCTGCCCCTTCAGTACGTGCCCAGAGGCAGACCGGATGTCTTCGCCAACACAGTCCAGACAATGTATTAGCACACCCATGACCTGCCACGTTAGCTGTCATCACTAACTGCCAGGCAGGACAGCTCCAGACCACACACATACACACACAGGCACGCCACAAACACTACAAACAAAACACACAACACTAGGCGCAAGAAAAAGTGAACCCCAGAGGGAAGACCTATGGACACAGCAAGTCAGAACAGGTGCTCTGCACCAGACCCTACGAGAGACTCAAATGTCACGACACGTGACTGGAAGCAACTGCCAGAACTGGGATGATGGAGGCCTAAAAAGCCTGCCTTCAAGACAAGAGACCAGAAGGATGGGGACTGAAAACCCCCTAAGAAGACGCTTAGGAAATCAATTCCCAAGCAAGAGCTCCTGATGCAGCCCAGATGACTTCTGCAAGAGTGAGGATGGAAACAGATGCGATCTCAAACCGAGTATGATGCACAAGACCTGAAACAGGCCTGCTCTTTAAGCAGCGTCTGCAAGACACGAAGCGCTCGGATCAGAGTCATGATGACAAAACAAGCATTGAGGCCCTTCAGCACTGCTACCAAGTCGCCTGTCTGGTCAGTCCAGTGTAAAAAGTTAGGAGGATATCAAGACCCGAGAAGCACAAAACAGACACTGCAGAAGCAACTCTACAAGACAGACAAAACAGAAGGAAACTGTCCTGCCTGGCGCACGCACTCACGCTTCAAAATAATCCCGCTGCTTCTATTAGCCTGGTGACCCAGCCACAAGCAGCCTGAACTTGACCCAGCCTGAAACACCCCTCACAGTGGCACCAAGTCTATTCAGCCAGCAGGCACCATGCTGCTCTGGCTCCCAGCTCCCATTAGCCACCCCAGATATGCAATTACCAGGTGCCCCCCAACTTAGCTCTCAGGTTGTTGGATGGTAAATTCCTTCCACCCCAAGAAATGCACAGGCACCGATTGTCATCTTAGTCAATTGCCAGGCTCATCATCAGCTGCAAAAAAAGAGAGTACCAGCATTCACTAGCACACCGGCCATGATGCCCACCTTCTCCACAATGCTGACTACTGCTGATGAAACATACGGTTCTGCTCACCTGTTCCTCTCCAAATCCAAGCTCCAACAGTGCAACCAGTATCATCCACACCACCTGGGAAAACAAAGGGATTAAATGATCATTGCGTTTCAAAACAAGTCAGCCAATGGCGTTGTTTGTTTTTGTTACTGTTTTTTTTTGTGTGTGTGTGTGTGTGTGTGTTTCCTGTATTAATTTTTTAGTCTGCTTTAGCTCAACAGCATGCAGAGTGCAAACAAGAGACTTGGGTGTTTCTAGAAGCAATAATCCCCATGCTTTTGCTGCAGCTTTGAATATTAAAAGGACAACACGACCCAGCAAGTAACTGGAACTTTCTTAACTGGAATTAGCTTAAACTTTTATTCACATTGAAAGAAAAATCTAGGAGCAGAACAGATTATACACCAACAAAATTAATTCCATTCCGCCCCCAGGAAAAAAATCACATACTCTCATCCCCTCCTGTACCTCAGCCGATTGCCTGCCCCACATGGCAGATGCTTCCATCGGTTCTCTTCACCCACTTATAGCACCTCCAAAAGGCAAACTGGAATTTTACTCTATTGGATGTAGGAAAATAACTGCAGTGACAACCGTGCCCGAAAATAACAGCTACCTCTGCTCATCACGCACCAGAGTCACTGCAGAGGCAGCTCGGGTTGAGACGTCCTGCACTGCGCACTACACACTTCATTTCAGCCTAATGAAAGGCAAAACACAGGCAGAAGATAAACATTCAGCTGCCAGCAGTAGCACCCATTCCTCAACAACCAAAAGGGACCCCATCTTTAGTTTTACCTGAGCGTCTTCCCTTTGCTTCGGATAAGGGATGACCAGGCTGGCAACACTCACCTTCCATCAGAGCTCCATCACAGGAGGATTTCCCTTCCCTCTCCACAACTGCACAAAGCACCTGCAGAGACAAGGAAAAAGCACACTCTGAGGCACCTCACAGCCACAGCGTACCTGCTGCAATACCTCTCTCTTCCCAGCTCCGGTACTTCTGCTGCTCACCAGATCTAAATCAGATTCTTTGCTCACAGCACCACAGCAAACTCTGCCCGGGCCGCACCACAGCAAACTCTGCCCGGGCCACACAACACACACTACACAAGCTACATGGCCCAACACACACCAGCTGGAACATTCCCACCCAGCAATCAGTCACATCGCACAGGAAGGATGCCACACACTCCTAGAAACCAAACCTACCAGTCCTGAGCAGCTCCCCACATCCTCCTGCCAACCACGCTCAGCACACACACTATTCACCCCTCAAAAAAAAAAACAAAACAGGAAGTTAGAACATACACACACACACACAAAAAAAAAAAAAACAACCGAGCTCCACAAATGCCAAAAAGACATGCACACACAGCAGCCCCGGCAGAGGTAATCACAGACTTACCCTTGCAGATAAAAAAAAAGGTGACTCTGATACAACCCTGCTCAGTCTCTTGGCAATGCTGCATCTACACTGTCAAGCCACAGGGTACCATGCAATCAAGCTGGTTTTAGTCCTCTGGAGAATTACAAAAGTGGGCTTACACATCTAGAGATTAAAATATAGGCTCAAAAACAGAAGAGTATCCCACCATCCCAAAAAAACAGTGAGCCAGAAACCTCTATTAAACATCCCTCTATTGAGTGAATTCCAAGCACTTAAAATTCTAGAAATCTATTAACTCCAGCCTGCCTAGAGAACCCTGCAACTGACTGAAGGAAAAACAAAGCACTTACCCCAAGGAGCAGCCCAGGCAGAAGGAGCTCTCTGATACCATGCCTGGGGCTCATATACCATTTGGCCCCGCCCAGCACCCAAACCCAATCACCTGGAAAAGGGGAGGGGCAAAGCACAAGGAAGTAGAAAGAAAGCAGGAGCAGCAGCAGCAGCTGTTTTTTATTATTTTCTTTGTTTTTTGTGTGTGTGTGTTTTTTTTTTGTTTTTTTTTTAAGATCTGGTTTACTTGAAAAACATGCAGAGAGCAGACAAGAGAACTGGGGTGTTTCTAGAAGCAACAATCCCCATGCTTTTGCTGCAGCTTTTAATATTGAAAAAACAACACAACCAGGCCAGTAACTGGAAACTTTTTGAAATGGAATTACATTAAACAGGTTCATCATCACTTGCAAAAACAGAGAAACCAGCATTCACTAGCATGCCAGCCCTGACACCCCTCCTCCTCCGCAACGCTGACTACTACTGATGCAACATCTACTGTGAAATACCTCTCTGTTCCCAGCTCCTTTACCTCAGCTGCTCACTACATTTACCTGAGAAATGTGCCTGGGAGGCGCCGCGCTGAAGTGTGCCCGAACAGACTTATTCTGCAGAGATGAAGAAGGTGGCCCTGCTCACTCTCTTGGCAGTACTGCACTTATGCAGTCAAGGAACCATACCCCACGGTTTCCCAAAAACAACGTACCTGGCAACCCCTCATAAATATACTTCTAATACGTAAATTCAAGGACATAAAGCCTAGAAGGCTTTATGGTCTAAACACTCGACAGACAGAAAACACACAGGCAAAAGCTCCAGAAATATAACAAACTGTCCCTAAACCTGAAACAGACTACCCCTTACGTGCCCACTGCTGCCATTTTAAGATACACGCTCACACAGGGAGCTTCCATGATACATTTCAACTAAACCCTGCTCCATCTCTTTAACAGCAAGGTTTTGACTTTGATAAGATTTGACCTACAGGCAAAGGCTCACAGAAAGCCCCGTAATTCTGCAAAAATCAGAATAGACCCAGAACCACAAAGCAAACAAACAAAGTAACATAACCATACCATCCGTAAAACTGCCATAATAACTACTCACCTGAGGAAGAGCTGCGTGCAATACAGGCACCTACTACTAGATTGCTTTACAGTGACAGATCCTACCAGTTACTAACTCAAAAAGATATGCGTACCGGTTTCTACTGGAAAACGCATCAGTCCATAGACTGACCCACCTAAAGAACCCTGCAACTGACTGAAGGAAAAACAAAGTGCTTACCCCAAAAAGCAGCCCAGGCAGAATGAGCTCTGTCATGGAATACCTGCAACTCAGTTACCACTAGGTCCCACATGGAACCTGAAGCTAATCACCTGGGAAAGTACAAAAAAAAAAATCAGAAAGGAGCAGTAGTTGTGGTTTCTTTATTCATTTATATGGCTTAGCTCAACACCATGCAGAGTGCAGACAGGAGAGCTAGGGTGTTCTAGAAACAAAAAACCCCATGCTTTTGCTGCAGCTTTGAATATTGAAAGGATACTACAACTAAGTAAGCAACTGATTTCTTTTTCCATCTGGAATTAGCTCAAACATTTATTTACATAGAAAGAAAAATTTGGAGCAGAACTGATTACACGCGAAAAGAAAGTCAATTGCATTCCACTCACAGGAAAAATCACTTACTTAAGTAGGCTACCCGAGAACCAAAAGGCTATGCTGATGGGTCAAAACACACTACAGGACACTGGGCCAGGCCCTCCACTGCACCAAATTAAAACCCATCCCTACGCTCACCAAGGTACAACCCCAACCCAAACACAGAAACAGCATTTCAGCTTCAACACAGTTTTGGGAACTGCTGGAAAGCATGCTTCATACTCAGCGAGGAGTGCTCAGGCTACACAAGACAGGGCTTCGAGCACCTCTTTGCCTACCAAAGAAGGCCATCATCAGCACCTGCTTTGTTCCGATACTAAACACTAACATCACAGCTCACGTTGCCTGGGACACCTGATAAACAGAAGAGAAAGCAGCCATACCCTTTTCAAGCCATCCCTGCACGTGTCGCTCCTTGATCATCTGCAGCCTCTTCTCAAATCCTCAACCGCTTCTGTGGAGAGCCTGCCATGGCACCTGCAAAGCAAGATGGATACCCTTCGCACTCACCTCGTGCTACTTGGCCGTTCTGCTCCAATCCAGCTCACAACCAGCCCGCCCTTCTCGTGCTGCTCTTCAGAGTGCAGCTTGGCCCCACTCAGCCTGTGCAAGACACCTGTGAAACAAAAAGAAAAGCATAGGCTGAAGCAGCATCCAAAGACACAGCACAGCTACGACAGTTACTCTCACCTGCTCCCTTACCTCTGCGCCCTCACCTCCCCTCGAGGCAGATGCTTCCATCTGCTCTCTTAGGCCAGCTACAACACCCCTGAAATATAAACAGGACTTTTACTGTACTTTGTGTAGTTAGGTAACTGCAGTGACAACTGCACCCCTAAGTACCTGCTACATCTGTTCCATCGCTCAGCTTCCAGCATTAGCACCCATCCCTCCACAACAAAAGGGACCCCATTTACAACGTTATCATTTCAAAACAGCAGCCCCCTTGCCTCAGCACCTCAGAAGTACATCAAGCCAGTCACCGAGTTGCCTACCGAGTGCTGAACAGTTCCAGAAGGAGCTCTTTCCTGTGACAGGTTCCTCCAAAGGCTTACGCTCTACTGGTGACAGGAAAGAAATAAAAATAAAAAATTCAAAACCCCATATCTGTAAGCTTTCAAGATTTGACAGACCTCCTCAAGCACACCGTTCAAGCACTACGCAAACAGCTGCTCACAAGCAGATATACTCTCCCAAATCCCCATCTGCCAACCACCAGACATGACTGTGCCAGCTGCTCTTCAGTACGTGCCCAGAGGCAGACCGGATGTCTTTGCCAAAATAGTCCAGACAATGTATTAGTACACCCATGCACTGCCACATTAATCACTAACTGCCAGGCAGGACAGCTCCAGACCAAACACGTACACACACACAGGCACGCCACAAACACTACAAACGAAACACACAACACAAGGCGCAAGAAAAAGTGACCCCCAGAGGAAACCCTACGGCAACAGCAAGTCAGAACAGGTGCTCTGCACCAGACCCAACGAGAGACTCGAATGTCACGACACGCGACTGGAAGCAACTGCCAGAACTGGGATGATGGAGGCCTAAAAAGCCTGCCTTCAGGACAAGAGACCAGAGGGATGGGGAGTGAAAACCCCCTAAGAAGACGCTTAGGAAATCAATTCCCAAGCAAGAGCTCCTGATGCGGCCCAGATGTCTTCTGCAAGAGTGAGGATGGAAAGAGATGTGCATCATATTCGGTTTGAGATCGCAAGACCTCAAACAGATCTGCACTTCAAGCAGCGACTGCAAGACAAGAAGTGCTCGGATCAGAGTCATGATGACAAAACAAGCATTGAGGCCCTTCAGCACAGCTACCAAGTCGCCTGCCTGGTCAGTCCAATCTAAAAAGCCAGGAGGATATCAAGACCCGAGAAGCACAGAAAAGACACTGCAGAAGCAACACTACAAGACAGACGAACAGAAGGAAACTGTCCTGCCTGGCGCACGCACGCTACAAAATTATCCCGCTGCTTCTATTAGGCTGGTGACCCAGCCACAAGCAGCCTGAACGTGACCCAGCCTGAAACACCCTCACAGTGGCACCAAGTCTATTCAGCCAGCACGCTCCATGCTGCTCTGGCTCCCAGCTCCCATTAGCCACCCCAGATATGCAAATCCCAGGTGCCCCCCAACTTAGCTCTCAGGTTGCTGCATGGTAAAGTCCCTCCGCCTCAAGAAATGCACAGGCACTGATTGTCATCTTAGTCAACTGAAGGCTCATCATCAGCTGCAAAAACAGAGTACCAGCATTCACTAGGATTCCAGCCCCATTGCTCACCTTCTCCACAATGCTGACTACTACTGATGCACCATAAGACTGTGCTCACCTGTTCCTCTCCGAATCCAAGCTCCAACAGTGCAGCCAGTATCATCCACACCACCTGGGAAAATAAAGTGATTAAATGATCGTTGCATTCACAGCGAGTCAGCCAATGGTGTTTTTTATTGTTGTTCTTGTTGTTTTTTGTGTTACCTGTATTTTCTTTTAAATCTGCCTTAGCTCAACAGCATGCAGAGCACAAACAAGGGAACTGGGGTGTTTCTAGAAGAAGAAACAATCCCCATGCTTTTGCTGCAGCTTTGAATATTAAAAGGACAACACGTGTGAAATGCACACTGCATTTCAGCCTGACC